CTTTGAGTGAAAAACCGAACCGAACCGTTCAAACCGGTTCCGGTTCCGGTTTCGAATGACCAAGAACCGGCCGAACCGAACCGTTTTATTAATAATAAATAAATAAATTATATATACACACACACATGTCATGGTATAATAGGTTGAAAAATTGTGTACATGAGCTGCTGCTTCTTGCTTGCTCTCTGATGTCTGAAAACCTGCAATTTGCTTCATCATTTTTTTGTTTGTTGACTGATTGACCAATGCATATGTATTTTAGTTGTTTCTTTTTGTTGACTTGGTGCCACTACCAAAGACATTTGCATTAAAAAAGATGTGTTGTATGCAACTTTATGTAATCAGTTTTAGAAGATGTATTTGAATGCATAATGATTTGATGTTCAAATAATTTATTATTAGGAACCGTAAACCGGCAAGAACCGAATCGAAACCGGTGTAGACCGAACCGTAAAGTTCTAGTAATAAATTTAAGTGAAACCGCACCGAATCGAACCGTTAATATATTTCGGTTTCGGTTCCAATTTAGGGGTGGAACCGTACCGAACCGCACCGTGCCCACCCCTAGCTGTGGTTGAGAATAAGCTTATTTTGCTGCTTCACATTTTCAGCTTTTTTCCATCCAAAACTGTAAAAATAAGCTGTTTTTAAATGTTTACCAAACACGTTTTTGAGCTCAGCTTTTTTTTATATCCACTTTTTATAAAAGCACCTTAGTATCAAACCAGTACTAAATGTGTTTGGTAAAACAAATAAAAAGTGTTTTAATAAAAAAAAAAAAAAAAAACTGTTGTCAGTGAAAGTAGAAAAGCAGAAACATGATCTACCATGCTTCTAAAAACGGTTTTTTTTCCAAAGCATAGTAATAAATGCTCATTTAATGAAGTTTTCAAATGACAAGTAAACCCCCACATGTTTTACAAAATTACAATTTTTGCCCCTAATTATTGTCATTAACAATTATTATATCACATTTAAATACTATATCTTTTTGGGTATTTAACATATTAAAAAACAATTTATATAAAAACTTACCAAACATTCAAACACTGTTATATATATATATATATATATATATATATATTTTTTTTTTTTTTTTTTTATATTAAAAGCACTTTCACAGAAAAAGTTTACCAAACACTTACAACTTTATTTAATAGCTGTTTATTCTCATAATACAGTAGAAATAGTTTTTTTAAAAAGCATAGTAATACCAAACTAGCAACGTTCATGCTTGACCTTTTTTTATTTATGTTGTGACAAAAAACCTATGGGTAATGCTAACGAGACTAAATGTGTAGATTAAATTTTGTAAACTAAATGATATAGAAGTTGATGATTGGATTATTACTTACTTACATGTTGATTAATGTGTTTGTTTCTTATAAGTGACATATCGTTTAGTTTGTAAATTTACTCTACAAATTTAGTCTACCTAGCATTACTTAAAATCTATTATTTACGAGAAATGCTAAGAAGACTCTCTTAAAAGTCAGACTTTCCATATACTCTCTGTCACCTCATGTTTTTGGTACAATGTTTTATAATGTTAGCACGAGAATTAATGTTAAATTGTGAGTGATATAGAGTTCATGAAGAGTCCCTCCTTGAGAAAATCTCCTTAGCATTTCTCATTATTTATAAGAATAAGTTTACTTCATAATTTTATGGTTTAAAGTTATTAATATTGTAACCATTTAGTACATGATGTATGATGTGGTTAATCATAAAATGCTTAGTGACATAAGCAGTGACTTCTCACGTATAAACAACACTAGCCTTCATGCACATGCTCACACGTGTGCATAAGGTATTTTTTGAATCACGGCATGCTACGCGCGATTTACACTTTTTAAGTGTATTTATATGCGTAAATTGACAAAAGGAAAGTCAAATATTTGAAGTAAATGAATAATCTTACTAGAAGAAACCCCTCACAAATTAATTAAAACAACTGAATTTACATAATAAAATCAGTCTCTATAGAATTTACATTAAGAATAGAGAAAATAATATTTAATAAGTAATTGATTGAATCACATTATTGCTAGCCCATTGTGAGGCTAAACCCACCCCTCCTCTTTAGTGTAGATAATATCGTTTGTTAAAAAAAACAATCATTTGATAACTAATTTAATCACATTATTATCCGCGTGCAAAAAACATTTTTTATAACCGGCATTACACGCCTCTTAAGATGTTTTGAACGTGTTTAAAAATAGAGAAATTGAATCACATTATGGCTAGCCTATTGTGAGGTACTATTTTTTGTTTTTTTTGTTTTTTTAAAAGCACAAAAAATTAATTATTAAAAAAAGCATTGTTAAAATGATGAAAATGTCTCTGACTTATTTGATGCATTATTTTGGGATGTCTTTGAATATTTTTATCTTGGGGGCATTTTTGTTCAAATAATTTTTGAGTTTGGTAACACCAAAAATACTGTTTACCTTTTGTGTTGGTTTTATATATAAGATATTATTTTGTAATATTTCCAATATAATACTCTATCTCCAATGGTTATAATCGGACCACACACAAAAAAAATGCCCTACTTATATGATTTAATGTATATGACTCATAAAATGACACATCTATTGAAATAACAGATACAAACCTTGCAAAAATTAATCTACATGATACACGTCTTATAAGCTGGCGACACGAGAAAATAATTTTATGTAGAAACCCTTGCATACTTTCTCAGTTTCTCTCTCTGCAAACACCTCCTGAACCTTCTAGGTCACAAAGCAACTTTTGCTTATAGATTCCAGACAGAGGGGACTGGTTTTTCCCCCTGAAATCATACTTCTGTCTGCAGAATAAATTTGGCTTCTCTTTTTTATCTAATAAACTGTATTAAGACATTTAATGTATCAGATTGTATTTTTTGCACATTAATTTTTTTTTTCCTACCGCATAATAAAGTTGGGCATCTCTCCTATATCCAATCAATTGTAGTATGATACTTGGCGTACCAAATCGTGTTATCTGTAAACTGAAACATCTCTTCTAGTTCTGTGCTATTTATAATCAACAAATAGGAAACTTCTATGCAAAATACCTCGATGCAGCTAAAAATAAAATTATTTAATATAAGTTGTGATTTATTTTGTGAGACGAGAATTGTGTAAATTTTTACTTTATTCAATAATTATCGCCTGATCTGATGTAGATTTGTCTCTTTACGCTGGCGATGTTGTGCATCTCGGCCTTGAGAGGCTGATTTCTTCAGATCTTGCTTGCCAAGAAGTCAAATCGGTCAAGATTGATATGTAGTATCTTGGTTTTTTTTTTTGACCAAGTGTCGGATGGCTTTCATCGTTTCATTTTAAATGTTGTTGGAACCCTCCTCTTTGGGGTGTTGTTATATTTTAAGTCTTGTAATTTGGCCATTTTTGTTAATCAAATTGACTCTGGCTTCAGGAAAAAAAAAAAAAAAAAAAAAAAAAATGTCCAAAAATTTATTGTTCTCTCATTTTTCAAACCCATGTAAATTTGTGCGCAACGGATATTTTACCCCTTTAACGTAAGTTTCCACCTGAACTTTAAATTTTTTGACCAAAACGCTGGTGAAACGGAAAAATACATTCATGTCCAAAATTCATTGTTTTCCCTCTGTCCATGTAATTTCTAGCATATAACGAATATCATCATGTAATATAAGTTTCAACCTGACACCTATTTTAAAATTGTTGACCAAACGTGATACACACGTTGTAAGCTAGCAACACAAGTAGATATTTTCATTCCAACAATTCATTGCTTTCTCTCTCGTCTCTGAGATTTTAAGAGCCCTATGGGAAATTTGTAAAAGGGACTCTCTTTAAGATAGTTTTAAGTTTTAAAAAAGTATGACAATGTATTGATACTAGAAAACATTCACTTAAATTAAAACAAAACCACTTAATACTACGATCAAGTGGTATTCATCTTCACTTGTATGTGAGAGGTCTTATGTTCAATTCTTGTCAAAGGCGAATTTGAACCACATTATTGTTAGCCTATTGTGAGACTTAGCCCACTCCCTCATCCTCTGAACGTAGATAATATCGTTTATTCAACAAAAAAAAAAAAAAAATCAAAACAAACTTTAGCACTCACTGATTGCATGTTTTTAAATGTCCTTAATGATAAGTAAAAAGAGCTACAAACAATAACCTTCACTAAATAATCAAAAGCAGTTTTATCTTAAACAGCCAAACATGAAAAAAAAAAAAAAAAAATTAGACCTCTAACTTTAAAGTTCAATTGAATATATAACATTGTTATGTTATAAAATTAAGAAACTGTCGCTTTTCAGGATGTTATTATTGACACTCAAAAAATCTTATTGTACTCCAAGTTCTTATGTTTAAAAAGAAAGAAAAAAATACTCTTATGAAAAATGCACAATACAAGTTTAAAGTGCTAACAAAAGCAATTTTTAAATATAGAACATTATTACATAATGTTAAATGACAAAAGTTTAGAGGCTCCTTCAAATTTGGGGCCTTGTGCAATTGCACATTTCACTTCCCCTCAATGCCCCCTCTGTTTCTCTCTATCTCTCCCATGTGATTTTTAACGTAACAGATAATACAATTTAACGTAAACTTTGACCTGATACCCATTTTAAAATTGTCGACTAAAACATGATATTGGCGAAATGAAAAAATCCTTATCCAGTAGGTATTTATTTATTACCATCAATCACCATATCACAAAAACTCTTTGAATAGGAAAAACATATCTATCTCTTGTATTTCTTTTATTAGGACATCTATCTCTTGTATTTCTTTTATTAGGACTATTAGGACATCTATATCTTGTATTTCTTTTATTAGGACATTGGAGCACCGAAATGTCACATCCCAAAAACAAAACTACCAATTGCCCATTGAAACAGCAGCCCATAGTATATTACGCGCACACACACACACACACATAACATTGTGATGTAGTCCAATATGATGTCCAATCCACTCCACAAATATTAAACATTTCCTTTCAATTTTTTTCTGAACATTCTTGATTCTGATCTTCTCCAAAATCCAACATAAATACACAAAAGATATAAAGCAAAAGACATTGCTGAAGAGAGGCAGAGAGAGGAGAGAGAGGAGAGAGATGCAGAGCTATCGATTAGCAATCTCAGGAACAGGAAGCGATTCCTGCTTTCACATCCCAACAACCCACACAACCATCCCTACCAACATACCCATACCCAACCCCAAACCCAGCTTCCTCTTCCCCAAATCGGTTTCCTCCTTCCGGAACCGGTCCGGGCCCCTCAGGCTCAAAGCGAAGGCCGCCATCAACGATGGGTGGGTGGCAGAGCACAAGGAGCTCACCTTCTACGAGCTTCTGGGCATACCCGAATCCGGATCCGCGACCGAAATCAAGCAGGCGTATAAGCAGCTGGCCCGGAAGTACCATCCGGACGTGTCGCCTCCGGATCTGGTGGAGGAGTATACGGAGAAGTTTATCCGGCTTCAGGAGGCTTACGAGACCTTGTCTGATTCGAGAAGGAGAGCTTTGTATGATCAAGACATGGCCAGGGGTCTTCACCTTGCCTTCTCTGCAAGACGATACCAATCCGATGAGGTATATTTTTGGGTTTTTTTTTTCCTTTTAATCTTCTGATGATTTTGGTGTTAATTTAATTCGATCTTTCTTCAAATTATTGATATGGGTTTATGAAAATCTCTGAATCTTAAATGGGGTTTTTTTCAATTTCTAATCTTGGTGCTGTATTTGGTTTTTTGAGCTTTGATTCGGTGGGTATTACCGGCCTCTGTAATTGCAAGTATTTGCTGGGATTGGTTCTGGTTTCAGAAGCCATGGTTTTATATTCTTGGCTTTCTATTTTACATCAAATCTCCGGTGTCTAGTTTAAATTCGTCTTGTGCTTTGGCAGCCTCGTTCATTTCATAACAGTTGTTTTCGATGACGGTTTTGGTTTCAGGTTGTCTGAACCTTCCATACACGTTAATCTTCATGCCTCGATGATTAACGTATTTCGAAGGTTCAGACAACCGAGAAATCCAGAAATATATATTTCTGAGGCATGAAGATTAACATATATGGTAGTATAATATCAAAGGGAAATGGCCAAGATTAGCTCTTTGTTAGCCAATTGTTTTCCTATTCCGGAATGGCACTAAATTTCAATTTCGATTGTTTACAATTTCAGGGAGTGGAGGATGTCGGCAGCTGGAGGAATCGATGGCAAAGTCAGCTTTCTGAGTTGAAGAGAAGAAGCATGAACAAGGATGCTGCTACAAGAGAAGAACATATGTCATGGGGAGCTCGAATGCGCCGGCAAAGAGAAGGATCGTCCGATCAACTATAAAATAGGTCCTCCGGTGTTCTATGTATGTCTGCAGATGTATCTTTCCTACCTTCTTAGTCATGGTTGACATTGACAGAGGGAACTCAAGCTTCCATTTAGTTACCATATTTACGCTAGCCAAGCAAGGCAAGTATTTCAATATGCTAAACAGATGGAAGATTAAAACAGAAATTTGCATAGATGTAATCCCTGTCCGTGACAATCATAATTAGAGGCAACATATAATGTACATAAGGTTTTGTTAGACTTTGTTACCTGATTAAACATTACTGCCAACTCTGACTTAGTACCATGTGAGCTTGAATTATTCCCAATTGAAATAGTATTCAATGAGGTGGAGGAGAATTCTTCTCATCTGAATACAAGATGAGAACATTGGAGGAATCGACCTTCAATTTTGGTCAGAGCTTTGGTCTCTCAAAAAAAAAAAATCGTGGTATTCGTGGCGGAACTTCAATTCACTTTTCTTCTCTTTAAACTCTTTATTTTGGAAGGCAGAACTTCAATTCACATTTTGTCTCTTTAAACTCTTTATTTAGGAAGGAAGTTTTAACTGTGTTAGCGAAAATGACTATTCTTTTATGTTATAACAAATTTAGGGGATACTTACGAATTTTTAATTAAGGGTAATATTAGGAAAATCAAATTTTATAAATTAAATGATATGGATGTTGTAAATTTAGTTTAAAAATTTGGTCTCCTATTATCTTTTAATTCAAGGACTAAAGTTTCTATTGGACCAAAGTTTAGACATCATTGCACTAAGTTTCAATGGCCAAGTGGGCATATGTATATGAATAGTACTTGCTGGTAACTCTTCGTGGCCGAGATGATCTTTTAAAACTCTTGATTTTTGTACAAATAATCTTCACTGTATAAAAAATTAGTTATAATTATGAAAATTATTATTGACATTTCATAAATCTCATTCTACATTTTAAATTTTCTATATTTGAAAAGAAAAATACATTTACGATGAGTTTATATTGAAATTTTTAAAGTGCTATCTTATGTGAATTGCCACAATGAGTTGTTGAGTAGAAAGTAGCCAAGTACTATTCCGTATGGATAAACCTTAAAGCTGCAACTTGCCAAATTGATTAACTTTACAACTTGCCGAATAAAATAAGATGTTTAACATTATCTGGTAGAGTATGAGGTTTGGCTCTCTACGGTCACGATTTGTTGGGAAGGTGGTTGCGGGATGGGTTATTGCGGAAGGTTGTAATGTATCCACATTCGGTGTTGTTTGCTTTCATATACATCTCTTTTAATACTTGAGTTTTGTTAAAATTTCTATTGTAACCGATATTATCTTTTAAGGTAAGCTCTATTTGACATTTACTTTAAAAATATTGATTAAAACGTGATACAGATCTTGTAAACTCGTGACACAGAAAAATACTTTCATGTTCATAAATTTATTGTTCTTTCTATCTCTCCTCATATGATATATAACAAAACGGATATTACCCTTTAACATAAGGTTCCACTTTGACACTTATTTTAAAAGTTTTGACAATACATGGTACACATCTTGTAAGCTATGTCCAAAAATTTATTGTTTTCTAACGTAACGGATATCACCATTTACATAACCTTCGATCTGATATTTAGAAGTATTGACAAAACTAGTACACACCTTGTAAGTTGTCAACACGGGAAAATACTTTCATGTAAAAAAATTTATGGTTTTTCTTATCTTTTTTTTTTCTTTTTTTGGGGGTAAAAAGGTAACTATCACCACAAGAACAAGCAAACTTACAAACGATACAAACAAAGGTCCAAACACAAAAGTACATATACAAACAAAATGGACCAGCCACGTAAACCAAAGCAAAGCCCAACCACCAACAACATGGGCCCAAAACAATAAAACCTAAAGCAAGCCGAGAAACCCGAGAATTCGGCAGCCGCCACCGCTACAACAGTATTCCAAGATTCGCCCAATTCCACACCTCCAATCGCACGCCAACTCGTCGATCAGAGCATCCAACCCCAAGCATCACCTGGTACGTAGCCTCCATGGAAGAAATCAAGCAACCAGAAGAAGAATTTCGGCTACCAGAAGAAAGAAGCCCGTAGAGGTCCATGAGTGTAACATTCCGAAATTTCTAATTCGGAAGCTAATTACTAAGATCGGCCCAAAAATTATTTCGAAAGATAATCACCAAATTCATTTTCTTAGATAATTTTCAATAAAAAATTATCTCAATTATTTTATTATGGCTGCATCTAACCTCTTTAGACTGCCTACGTACCCTATGAAGGGATCAAGCCTTTCGTATTTCACAAATTCAATTTCTAAATCATTTCCGAAAATCATTCAAGTGACTAACAATCACTAACTGGGTTCAAACAAGTGAATCATACCAAATGCATATCATATATGGTTTCAAAATATCGAAATACTCATGAAATGGTAGTGTTGGCTCACTGGCCATGTGCCACTGCACATGCCGCCGCGTGTGGCAGTTTCCTGCGAACGGAAACCCTAAATTCCGACAAACCCTAAAAATTACCAAATTTTACAGGGTTGTAGAACACAACAAGGGGAAGAACTTTTATACCTGGGTCGAAGCCTAGTTCGGCCGAGAAGTGGCCGGAATACCTCTCAAACCGCCGTAAACCCCGATTTGGGTAGTTGTTGATTCGCCACCAAAATGAACTCCGCCACCTCATCCAAGGCTTGGGCCTTGCTCATGGGGTTGAGATGAGTCTTTTGGTGGTGGTCATCGACGATGAAGCTCGTCAAAGCCACTGGAAAAAGATTAAATCCGCCGGATGCACCCGTAGGTTTTTGGCTTCAATTTGTAAATTTAGGTTTGAAACCTAGAATTCTAACACCATAGGGATGTTGGGATTGATGAGAGCTTTCCATAGACACCAGAATCACCTTGAACGGATGTCAGATGGAGGAGTTAGAGACGGGTCAAGGAACTGGGTTAGGTCGGGTTGTATAGATCCAAAAGGATCCGATGCTTCCTTACCTCCCTCCTTTCTCTCCCTTCTTCCTCTACCGATTGGTTATCCTTCCCCTTCATTTTCTCTCCTGTATCCCTCATTTTCCTTCTCTCTTCATCACAGCCACACACATGACACTTCCATTTCTCTAGAAAATTTGGAGCCATCCAATTTAATAATGGCAAAATAACTATTTTGCCCTCAACTTCAATCGTTAATAACTCATTCGTTATAACACCGTTTCATGAACGGTTTTCACCTATACTCTCGTGGAATCGTCCTCTATCCCAATGTTGTCAAGAAATACGATAAAATATACAAGGATAAAATACGTCCTCATAAAATTAGGTTTAGTCAACGAGAGACATTTTCATCTTTTCACTTTTTGATAAAATTTTCCACACAATCATATATTTTTAAACTTTTTAGGGTATTACATTCGACCCTCATTAATATATATATATATATATCTCACATATATATATATATATATATATATATATATATGTGTGTGTGTGTGTGTGTGTGTGTGTATTACATGAATGTCACTTATTCACAAAAATTATAAAATAATGCAACCACAATGCATATCATAATTCACATAAATGCCTTACTTATGAATAATGCAATATCAATGCAAATCATAATTCTCATAGAACTTTGTTCACAAACTTTATGAAATAATGCATTTGAATTGCATGTCATATTTTACAACAATAAGAATTCAAGAATATTCCACACACGTCAGTGATTCGCAATAGACATGCATTTCACATAAATGCCTCATTATTCATAGGAATTATTAAATAATGCAATCTCAATGCTAATCATAATTCACACCAACATAAACTCGAGAATATTGCATATTGTAAAGCATGATCATTCGCTCTAATACCAATTTGTAACGTCCCGAAATTTCTAATTTGGAAGCTAATTACTAAGATGGGCCCAAAAATTATTTTGGAAGATAATCACCAAATTCCTTTTCTTAGATAATTTTCAATAAAAATTTATCTTAGTTATTTTATTATGGCTGCATCTAACCTCGTTAAACTGCCTACGTACCCTTCAAAAGGATCAAGCCATTCATAATTCACAAATTCAATTTCTAAATCATTTCCGAAAATCATTCAAGTGACTAACAATCACTAACTAGGGTCAAACAAGTGAACCATACCAAATGCATACCAAATATGGTTTAAGAATATCGAAATACGCATAAAATGGTAGTGTCGGCTTACTGGCCACGTGTAACATCCCACATCGCCTAGGGGAATGGATCATGTAAGCCTTATATGTATATTCCCATCTCTACCTAGTACGAGGTTTTTTGGGAGCTCACTGGCTTTGGAGTTCATCAGAATTCAGAAGTTAAGCGAGTTCGAGCGAGAGCAATCCCAGGATGGGTGACCTATTAGGAAGTTCTCGTATGAGTTCTCAGAAACAAAATCGTGAGGGCGTGGTCGGGGCCTAAAGCGGACAATATCGTGCTACGGTGGAGTTGAGCCTGGGGTGTGGTGGGGGCCCGGGCTAGGATGTGAAACCACATGCCGTCACACACGCCGCTGCGCATGGCGGTTTCTAGCGAACAAAAACCACAAATTCCAACGAACTCTAAAAATTACCAAATTTTACAAGGTTGTAGAACATAACAAGGGGAAAAACTTTTATACCTGGGCTGAAGCCTAGTTTGGTCAGGAAGTGGCCGGAATACCCCTCGAACCGCCGTAAACCTCGATTTGGATAATTGTTGATTCGCCACCAAAACGAACTCCGCCGCCTCATCCAAGACTTGGAACTTGCTCCTGGGATTGAAAGGAGTCTTTTGGTGGTGGTCATCGATGGTTAAGCTCGCCGGAGTCATTGGAAAAAGATTAAAGCTGCTGAATGCACCCGTGGGTTTGTGGCTTCGATTTGTGAATTTGAGTTTCAAACCAAGAATTCTAACACCACAAGGATATTGGACTTGATGAGAGCTTTCCATAGAAATCGGAATCACCTCGAACGGATGTCAGATGGAGGAGTTAGAGAAGGGTCAAGGAACCAGGTCGAGTCGGGTTGTACATATCCAAAAGGATCCAGTGCTCCTTCACCTCCCTCATTTCTCTCCCTTCTTCCTCTGCCGATTGGTAATCCTTCCCCCTCATTTTCTCTCCCGTGTCCCTTATTTCCCTTTTCTCTTCATCAAAGCCACACACGTGGCACTCCCATTTCTCTAGAAAATCTGGAGCCATCCAATTTAATGGTAAAATAACTATTTTGCCCTCAACTTCAATCGTTAAGAACTCATTCGTTATTGCACCGTTTTACGA